TGGAAACACTTGACGGAACCAGCCGAGACCTACACAGAGTCAGAGGGCCACCCTGAAACGGCGACTGGACCTCCTGTCAAGCACAGCATGTGGTCGGGGCCTCTGAAGATGCTGTGACAGGAAAGACCAGGTTTCTTTCCCAGCTCTAGAGGATGTATCAATCAATCAACATTTATTTGTAATTGCACAATTTGTCGCAATTCAAAGTGCTTCACAAGAGCGATAAAAACAGAGCAACATGAAAGTATTGGGCTTAAAACTCTTTAAAAATGGGGGTTTGTCAAGAGATTAATTGTACAAAATAGAATCTGTTAAATGCACAGCAAAACAGATATGTTTTCAACCTAGCTTTGAACATGGTCAGGGTAGAGGCCTGTCTCACAACCTCAGGAAGACCGTTCCAAATGTTAGCTGCTTAATTCTGAATTGTTGCCTCCCCATCTTTAGACCTGACTCTGGGCACTAGCAGGAGGCCAGTCCCTGTGCTCCTCAGAGTCTGAGTTGGTTCATATGGCACCAACATTTTATAGATGTGCTTTGGTGGGAGGCCATGGAGAGACTTGTAACAAACAGAGCTGCTTTAAAGTCTGTTCTCTGAGCCACAAGAAGAGACCAGAGAACTGGACTAATGTGATCGTACCAAAATCAAATCAATCACTCTCCCAACCAAGGATCATGGCAACATTTTGATGATATAGCCACTGCAGACCACAGCATTAATGTCAGGAAGTCCAAGCTAGTTTAATCAGAAGGTTATGATAATGTTGAAATGTGTGTGTGATGCGGGAGAGATTCTCTGTCAAATATTGTTGTTCTGATTGTCAGATGATATAGAGTTCAGTCATGTGCCACAGACACTTTGTGGTTCGGTCGATGAGCCGGAGAGCTACAGAGATGGGAGGACGAAGGAAGAGAAATATACAATCATAAGAGAATGGATGGGCAGAGAGGGGAGCGTGGCATGTTTTACTGAGTGAGGAGTGACTGGAGCTGCATGGGTGGTTTCAGTGATGACAACGCCATCATCAATGTGGAGGATGACATAATGCAGCAGATGCAGACTTCAGATTTCTGACTTTAGCTCGACCGCAACAGTGTCCCAGACCTCTGAAGTCACTGGGCTGTTAGGGGCACTAGTAGTCTGTGTTTACGGTGACCAAAGGATATGTTTGGCCCCTGCCTTTTGTCAGCTTCTGCCCCTGGTGTGGATTACCTGCTGGTGTCAGTATGATGAACGGGCTGCAGGAGCTCGATGAAGTGTTTATGAGCAAAAGGCGTTATTGCATGTAACTAATCAGGCCTAAAGCAGGTATCACAGGCTGGATTTCTCTGGCAGAACATTCCCACTGTAATGTGATTATGTGTAGGATGCTGGCCCTTTTCAGGCTTTTCTGTGACATCACACAACTTTTGGACCATACATCTTTGAGCAGGACTGGAGAGATTTGTTTTCCATAGCTTCACATAGCCAATCTTTGATTATATTTATTGTTGTAACTTAAGGAGATGTCTAAGCTACCTCTGTACTATGTTCAGCTAGGTAGAATAATACACTTTTCTTTGACAAGTGGTTTGTTTCAAGCTGTCTGTTATTTTACCATCACATTCAAATGTGATGGATAATAACATTTCCAGTTTGCATGAGCTGAACACATGCCAGAGCAAACATATAGAGCAGGGGTGTCAAACTCATTTTGGTCCGGGGGCCACATACAACCTAATCTGATCTCAAGTGGGCCGGACCAGGAGATGCTCTACAAAAATATCCAAAAACGGTACAAAATCCAACTTTTTGCACATAAACACATTTATTTAAAACTTCCTTTAAAACACTGTCCTTTAATACTCAGTTTTCTGTTACAAACTTAAATGTAACAGTGAGTTTTCCATAGTACAAATAATGTAATGTATTTACAATATTACATTGAAAATGATATTTCACAATATGTATATTAATATTTGTATGTTAGCTTTGTTTTAAGGCTCATTACAGAGAAAACTTGCTCACAAAGGTAAAGTAGGTAGACAGAAAAAAGCACTTTAACACAGCACCTCAGCTTAACCATCTTCAGTGTGGTAAGGTCCATGGTTATGTTATTATCACATTAACCATCTTCAGTGTGGTAAGGTCCATGGTTATGTTATTATCACATTAACCATCTTCAGTGTGGTAAGGTCTATGGTTATGTTATTATCACATTAACCATCTTCAGTGTGGTACGGTCCATGGTTATGTTATTATCACATTAACCATCTTCAGTGTGTAAGGTCCATGGTTATGTTATTATCACATTAACCATCTTCAGTGTGGTAAGGTCCATGGTTATGTTATTATCACATTAACCATCTTCAGTGTGGTCAGGTCCATGGTTATGTTATTATCACATTAACCATCTTCAGTGTGGTAAGGTCCATGGTTATGTTATTATCACAGAGAAAGCATCAAACTGACCATGATTCACTTGAAATGAATAAAACAACTTCCATAACGTGATCCATTCTTAACGACTGCAGCAGTGTCTCTGTGTAAAATACAGTCAAATGTCCAAAAATCATCACCTCCATTTGCAGCTTTGTCACTACACCTGTTTTTACCATCAGTACCAGTCCACACTGTCCAACACACCAGCAACAACAGCAGAACCAGCACCAGCACCAGCAGCAGCGCTCAAAACTCCTCTGATAGTTTCAGTAACACCACAAATGAATATGTGACATCAGTAACATCAGTCTCTTATCGATGGCAACATGTTGGTAAAAGCGAGTGGTTTCTCAGACCATGTCTGCAGCCTGTGAGAGTTTTAACAAACTCTCTCTCACTGTGCGGCTGCGATGCTAATGCTAATGTTGTTAGCACAGGTAGCTTCCCTTTACAGCAGCAGAACTAACCTCTCGCTCTGGGCACAAACAGACTGCTGTGTCTTCAGGGCCAGACATGTTTATCTTCTGTTTTCTCCGCTCAAAGTGCCGTATTTTTCGCCGAGTCTTGTAGTTTAAGATGTTATTCCTCGAGCACCGCTCTGGTGGAGCCACTACAGACGCACTGGACTCACCCCTGAGCGCGGCGCTGAGGCGTCGCCTCGCGTCGCGGAGCGGCTTTTTAAAATGTATTATAATTATATTTTTACATAAATGAGCCGCGGGCCGTGTCAAATCTCTTGGCGGGCCGGTTCCGGCCCACGGGCCGTATGAATGACACCCCTGATATAGAGGCTTAGAAAGTGACAAATGCCGTGTAAAACAGCACTATAATCCTGCAGCAGATCCTGAAGTTCATACTAAGTTGAGACGACCAAGAAGTACAACAAACACCCTCAAAGTCCTGAGATAAATAATATATGTGATATGCTCACATGGAGCTGCTCTGTCTCGTGAGTTTGGCCTGGAGTGTGGAGGAGAAAAGTCCAAGGCCACTCAGTAACTTCAAAAGAATTTGTACATCGTTACAACAACTTAACAATTTTGAGAAGAAACAATGGGGGTCAGAGAGAGTCCCAACAAAGAAGTAAATGCTATAGCTTCTTAAAGGCCCAATGTTCACATATGTTCTAAACTATGAATGACACAAGATAGAATTAGGAATATATACAAATAAATAATGTATTAGTATAAATATACATACATATGTATATATATATATACATATATATATATATATACATATATATATATATATATATATATATATATATATATATATATATATATATATATATATAAAATAATACATAAATTATATGAATGTAAATATATAATATATACACATATTTGTAAACATATATATATATATATATATATATACACACACATACACATATATTTCATTTTATTTATTTCACTCTATATATGTGTGTGCGTGATTAATTATACTAACATATATAATATTTCCCTTTTTTACGTTACATCTGTAATTTGCTTTATATATTTTTGTATTATTTAAGCCTTATGAAAACAGCAGAGGTCTCCGTGTCTGTCCCTCTCCTTGCGTGTTGCATCATCACGCAATAGTGGCTCTCCTCTCGTGGCTCTCTCGTGGCCTACTGAACTACACACATCACTGTGACACGCACTGACGCCGCACGCAGCTCAGCATCAGGCCACACCAGTCTGTGTTTTTAACATAAAACAATTTATAATCAAGGGTTTTTTAAACGTTTAAAGCTGCTGACGCGTCTTTTAGATTAGTAACAAATATATATTAAAAAATATATTTTAGAAATGTCTTGAACGAAAAACAACAAGTTTTTACTTGAAAACAAAACTGAATGAAATGAACTGAATGAACAAAACACTGCTGTCAACCACAGAACTATCACTGCTGCTATCCCCTCCTTGCACAGAGACATTTGTGCTGCAGCTTCTGACATGTGAAAACACTCGTTTGATTATAACTTTAGTGTTTTCTTGAACTGGAGCCCGCTACGAGGTGCGCGTCTGTTTTATCAATGGGTAAAGTCCGCAGGTTTGAGCTTCACACAAACATCACCTGTAGCATTAACCTCATTCTGTTTCCAAACATTTAGAAAATACTCTTAACTTAAAGTGAACAATACACACGATTTACAAATTCTTCAATATTTTATTACTGAAAAACAAACACTGCATTATATAAATGTGGAGCTACAGTACTTCTCCTTCAATACAAACTTGAAATTAAAAGTCCAAAAATATCGTAATTTGTCAAAGTAATAAAATATCGTTGTGTTTGACACAAATACAGAAGACGCCTAGTCTATTTTACATGTGATCATTGAACATGTTGTTATCCTGAGACGCCCTAAATAGTGGCCAAAGAAAATCACATGACAAATACATATAGTTTGTGTTTAAAGGTAGATTGAAATGAAACAGTTATAAATAGGCCCATTCTGTGAATAGGCACAAACCTGTATCATTCATGTTGGCTGAGTATGAGCATACAAAAATATTCCTACCTTCAAACGCGTTAAAGTTTAGTCGCGCTGTTCGTGTTTAGCAGCGGAGAGAGAGTTATGAACGCGTTAGCAGCCGGTGCCGCTCACGGCTCTAAAGTCTGTCTGCACCGGGGCCGGGGCTGGGCGTCCCAAAGAGGGAGGCAGGACCGGGAGAACCACCGGAGGAGTCCGTGCAGGGCTGAGAGAGCCACCAATGATGCTCTCTATGGAGAAAGGGGAGCGCTGTGCCGCGGAGCTGGCCTTACGCACTGAGGGCACAGTGTGGCTGAGCTGCGGGTAGAACCTGCCCCGGGGCAAGTCCGTGGTGGGCATCAGAGACGGCGCGGGGATCATGGTCCCGGCGTGCTGCTGCTGCTGGAAGGCCAGGAGCGCAGAGTGCGTGTGGTAGGGCGGCAGGGAGATGCCGTATCCTCCGCAGCCGTATGGGGAGTACCCGTATGCTGCTGCTGGGAGTAAAGAGCTGTGCTCCCGGAGCAGCTCCTGCGCCTGCTGCCGCTTGAAGCGCTTCCTCCGCCGGAGAAAGCTCCCGTTGTCGAACATGTCCGCGGACTCCGGGTCCAGGGTCCAGTAGTTTCCTTTGCCCGGGTTTCCCGGCTCCCGCGGGATCTTGACGAAGCAGTCGTTCAGGGACAGGTTGTGGCGGATGGAGTTCTGCCACGCAGGGAACTTTTCGCGGTAGTACGGGAAGCGGTTACTGATGAAGTCACAGATCTCACTGAGTGTCAGTCTCTTCTTCGGGCTCTGCAGGATGGCCATAGTGATCAGTGCGATGTAGGAGTAGGGGGGCTTCACCAGGGTGTTCTTGCCCGTGGATTTGTAGCTGTCCCGTGAAGACGTGGGGCTGTCCAGACACGGAGGAGAGCCGGCCAGCAGGAGCCCATCATGCATCTGCGCCACCTCGTCCACGTACGCCCGCGTGTGGCAGTCGGAGTCTTCTCCCTCTCCTACTACGTCTATATCGGTCTCTTCTGAGAGGATGGACGCATCGGACATCTCTGAACTCAGAGTCATGGCTTAGTCTGTGCCCTCAGCAGATGTCTTTCCTCTTTCTTCACTTCTTTGAGGAGGGAGACCTCCTCACGCTCTGTCCATTCGCCTGTGGCCTCCCGAGAGCTCCTGCTGATGCCAGTCTCTCAAATGAAGTGCAAAAGCTGCGAACAGGCCCAACACACAAGGGGCGGGATTGTTCTGTGACGTGATCACGTGATGGGACCGAAAACAAGTTTATTTATCTTTGGTTATTCACATGCCTATGGGTCTTTATTCATCACACGCAGAAAAATCATGGCTTTGTATTTTTGGTATTTATTTGAATTTGACAAGTCACATTAAAGACACGGCTGTAAATACATCGAAATTGACTCAAGAATCGTTATCATAGTCCTATTGTACATGTTTGGTAAAGGAAACTGGAAAACTCGGGAACCGCAACTTCTTTAATCAATCACATTTATTTATAAAGCACAATTGTAACCCAAATTGCTTCATAAGAAATAAAACATAAAACAGTTGAAACAGTATGAAACATATGTTATTCTTTTTAGTCAGTAAAATGCATGAGAAAATGCCTAATTAAAGCTCATAGGCCTATTATTGGCAACAGGTCCGTGTGTATATGTTTAGACATCACTGTCACATGCAGTATTATAATAAAAGTAAAAAATAATAATAACAATAATGCAGATGTGTTGAAAACACAGTTGGACAATACTGTTAATTCTATATTCTAGTTGGTTAAATAATATATGATCCAAACCATTATCTGTTTGTTCACACAATTCTGTAACATTATAATTCATAAGCATAAACCAGTTTTTATTCTGAATTATTACATTTTTATTTCCGCCAATTCTTTGCATTTTCATGAGACATTTTAAAAAGAACGAGAAGAGCCTGTGGAAACAATTCAATCGTTTGAAAACTCCTATTTTCAAAGGAGGCCTGACAGCTATAAAATCATTTGTCTTTGAAAGTAATTGTTACTTAAAGGAACTTTTCTTGTTCTATGGCGTATGTTCACATGCAGCTACTATTATGGAATTAAAGAATCCTGCTTCAACAACATATACTTTAATTTATTGCAGAGCAGGTTTGATATAATCAAAGATCTGGACAATGCCTTGGTTAGTCAGCAGATAAAAAAACATCTTTAAGTCCCAAAGTACGAAAAGGATTTTTATTTAGGACACTGATTTAATGGATAAAATGATATAGGCATGAAACATTGGAGCTCTTTTGTAATAAAGTAATAAAAACACATTTATATTCACCTGTACAAAAACAATGAGCCATTAAGGGGCTTAAGAAAAACAGAATTTGACAGCAGGACATTAAGACATGAACCTATACTTGCACTTTCCCTGAGCTTTATCTGCAGTTTTTGTTGCACATTTCCCTAAGCCTATATTCAATTTTGTGAAATGTCTCCAGAACATGAGACCATCGTGACCTTTTATGACTGCGCTCAGAGTTTACGAGAATGAATGCTAATTGTACTGACTCGTATTAAATTACTTCTTATTGATGCCACCTTTAAAATATTTTCTAAAATGTTTTCACTTACTGCATGCCTAAAATTACATTGTCTTTTGCTTTTAGTTTCATCTAAATTAATAACAAAGCTTTTGTTTTCTATAAATCCGATGTTTGAATAGTGGTAATGAACAGTGTTTCACTGATACACAAGGTTTCCAATTTCCCATCATTGTTTGCCTTTCCATGATGACACCTTGATTTCACCATTAGAAGGAGCAACAAAATATCATTAGTCTATGCTAATGTTTGTTATTATCGGTGTTTAATACAAATAATATACAAATCAGTATGAATCCAAACTGGAAAACCTTTACTTTTAGCAAACAAAAGGCAAAGAGCTACTCCTTGAGGTGCAATAATTATCATTACACAGTGTTGGGTGTTACAGTTAAAAATACTACTGTTACTGTTACTAAAAAAGTACATTGTAGTAAACTTGCAACACCAATAATGATTGATAATTATATTAATAACATTTCATAGCTTAAACATTTTATTATGCCTAAACATACAAACACAATCCATCCATGAGACAAGCCAAGATAATCAGCAGAATCTGTTCATATTTATATCCATGGTTGATATCTCCAATGCACATTTCAGACGTTTATTGCATTTCCTGTGTTCGAATTGTTTGCTTCTCTCATCCGTGACGACTGCTCTGGTGATAAATAGCGCAACGTGTTGGTTGTTTGCAGAACTGCACATTAGTTTTAATACAAATGTGCAGAGATCTCGTGTAGAAAACGAGCTTGAATCATTTCGCTTAATAATACCCATAGATACATGTTATTATATCCCTTCAATCATGCAAACCCAAACCATCCACAACCAAACATTTACAGTCAAACCCGGAGACCCTGGCGGCTGGACCATAGCTGGACATTTGCGTGACGTCACTTCCGCCTTCCTCTCTCGCTTCCATCTTGCTCCCGCATGTGTCTGCTGTTAGTTTACAGGTCAGTTAGGAGCTTTAAACATCTTCTTCCCTGCACAGATTTGTCCTGATCGACTTCAAGAGGTAAACAAACTTGTATTCTCTCCAAGCACCGAAGTCTGCGGGCTGTGGCAGCGTCACTGTTGCAGTATTTGTAGACGTACTGAGCAGTGTCAGGCCGTGCGCTCCTCTGTTAGCAAGAGGCTAATTGTAGCTTCATGATCACATTGCAGATACCACGCCTTCATCAAGTGTAAACTTATCGTGTCTCCCGATTTTATTCCGTAGCCTTGCGGTAGACCCATCGTGATCGATACATAATGTTCTTATCAGCCCACGAAGTTTAACTACATCTTAGAAGCCTTATCATTCCCACCAAACAAAATGACTGTGTTTTCAATGCATGAACTATAATCAGCACATTTGTGTCTGTAGATGAAAGAAGCTATAATGAATCAAGAAAAGCTTGCCAAATTGCAGGCACAAGTCCGCATTGGCGGAAAGGTAAGGCATTGTTTTGCGCATTAAATGAGTACAATATTTTTGTCATTTCACTTGTAAATGGCAAATACTGCATTTTCGGAATGTGCACTAAATGTAACTATCTACTTATCCTGCCAGATATGTCTATAATTTTCTCTATACATACATAGATCTAATATATGTCTTACAACTGCCCTGTATGTGCATTGCAACATCAACATTTCCCCACTGTTACATTTCCCCAAAATAAAGGTTTTCTAATCTTATCTTTTTCATGCACCATGTCACGTTTAGGGCAGTGCTCGCAGAAAGAAGAAGGTTGTGCACAGAACAGCAACAGCAGATGATAAGAAGCTCCAATTTTCTCTCAAAAAACTTGGAGTTAACAACATTTCTGGTATTGAAGAGGTATCTAACATTTCTTTGTTTTGGTGTATACTGCTTTTGGAAGAATTGCTTCATAATGATCAATATGTGTTTGAACAGGTAAATATGTTCACAAATCAAGGAACAGTTATTCACTTCAATAACCCCAAAGTCCAGGCCTCACTTGCTGCCAACACCTTCACAATCACTGGGCACGCTGAGAGCAAACAGCTGACAGAGATGCTGCCTGGTATCCTCAACCAGCTGGGAGCAGACAGCCTGACAAGTCTAAGGAGACTTGCAGAGGCTCTTCCTAAACAGGGTATGAACATTTCATCCTGTAGTCCCGCAGCTGTCACTTGACAGACTTGTAGGGTTTAATCATTTGTCCTTTGGCTTTCCAGAAGGAGATGGTAAAGCACCCATTGCAACAGTAGAAGAGGAGGATGATGACGTTCCAGGTGAGTGCACAAAGCTGGAGTACCTAACATTTTGTTTCATAAATGCAGTTTCCCCCAGCAGAAAGTCTTAAGTAATATGCCATGAATAATCAGTCCACATGCTGTCTTCATCTTATTAGAAAGTCTTTCATCTTTTTCATAGTGAGGGCTGGGACCTCTTTTCCTCGGGTAAATTTGATCTAATGATGTGAAGAAGCCAAAGAAATGATAGAACTATAGTTTCCGTGTGGATTGTATGCACATTCCCTCCAATGGAAAATGGATTGAACAAGTTGCCCATTAATTATGTTCTACTTTCTGACACTAATACGGCAGCTATGGTTTTGAAGTATCTGCCCTTTTATTACTTTATAAGAAATCTGTCCTTTTAGCAGATATGCCATGTTATGCCTTATTCTTTTCTTAGAAAAACTGCCACATCATTATTATATCTCAATAAGGTCTCCTAAATTGTAATTGGTTATAATAAAATAAAACATTGTGTTAGTTGTTCCTCATTTCAGATTTGATGCAGGGGTTAAAGCAAAAAAAAAGATTTGACTGAAAATTTTTGCATGGAAATTTATCACATGTAAATCACAGTAATATGCAAGACCAAGTTATATTTTTAATTACAATATATTATTGTATAATAGATTGTATATTGAATACAGCTCAAATGAATTCTTCAAAGATATACAGTGTATTTTGATATGAAATATAAGTGGATCAAGCAACGAGTAAACTTTTTGACAGAATATTAGTGAGAGTAGCTTTACTTGAGGCGATATGGAGCGTCAACACTTTGGCTCTGTCCTCGTCAAAATATCGCAAAAGGACGATACAATTCTGTCCACATTTGTTTGTGGACACGTCAATATTTAAGAAAAAGGTTTCCCTATCAAGTTTGAGTGCACAGTGCACTTCGATCAACTGCAAATGATTTAAATAAATCTACCAGCGGTAGTGATATTCCGAACGTTATTTTCTGCGATAAAGCCACAGACACGGTCCGCCAGAGCAAGCCTAGTGTCAGTTGTTGCTGATGCATCAGGTAAAGATGAAGTGTGGGAAAGTGCACAAACAGCTGCCTTGTGCGCAGTTTTGAGCTGGTGGCGAATCAAAACTTTTTTTCTCATTACTCCCATATATGCAATTTTTTATGGCAAAGTACGCACAAGCACCGGCCACTTTCATCTTTTCGCAACATGACTGCTAATTTACACATCACGCGTTACAGCACGTACGCGTTATAAGCGCAGCAGACGCGCGTAACTTTTTTCCATGTAAACCTATGATGATATTTACACTTCTAGCGTTATACGCGCGTATGACAGACGTATGACTCGAAGCTGCGCTCTAATTTAGGATGGATTTCTAATTTTGTGCACGCACCAACGCGTCTCCCATTGAAATCTCATGTAAAACATGATTTTTCTAGCGGTCCTTGGCTCTAGATCGCATCTGCACGCACACTGCACTTGTGTCTAAACATCAGCAGGAGGAGCAGCAGGTTTGACAGTGATTCCGGACATAGTTTTTTTTTTTCTTTCATAAAGTCTCGCGTCTGGACAAACCAGCGCACAGAGACCATGAAGACAAACACATGCATGTGATTTGTGTTGCTCTACATCAGTCCTCTGGCTCGTACTGTCCTCTACACTGCTCCATAGACTACACAGGGAGACCATCATAAGACGCGGACCTGCGTGCACGGTCAGTGTAGATACTCCAAAAAAATGTTACGCGCAGTAAACGCGTACGCGCTGTTTACGCCTACTGTGTAAATTCCCCGTGACTCGTTTATTGGCTCTTTTACATCACGCAGAGTTTTGCAAGAAGATCGCAAACAAGACAATATCAAAAGCTCACCAAGACATGTTTGTCCCCATTCCCAGTCGCAGCAAAGTCCGTTTTGTACATTACGTTAAGTAAAATAGCATTGCGTTTGGTAAACGTTAATTACCTTTCGTCTATTACGCGCCCAGCTTACCAGTCCGGATCTGCTGCTGTTATTGCTCCGTCCGAGATTCAATTTTCCTCCTCTTCTCCTTTTCAAAAGCTCCGTGCAGTTTCCAGAAACGTTCACCTCCGTGTTACCAATGCTAACTTCATCGCGTCTTCATTTGCGCGTGAGCTCAGCTACGTCCCATTGCCTTGATTCATTTGCGGAGCGCTCATGTGGCCACGGCACGTTCAAGTTCTTATTATTTCTATATACATATAAATACAATTATATTCAAATTATTATTATACATCGATATATATATATAACAGATTCACACGTATATGTATTACTATATATTATTTTTATAATCAATCATTTCATTGTGTGTATTATTATATATATATATATTTTTTTTTTTTCCAGACCAATTTCATTTGACGGAAATCCGTCACCTAGACGGAACTCTTTAATCCCTGATTTAATGTAATCTGTGTCAATTTCAGATAATTTGAAGTATTATTGCAGTGAGTTTTTTCAGCTGACTAGAGCATAATTGTAAACTTGAGCTTTGAGTAGCTATTATGTTTAGTATAAGAGAATCAAATCTAAATACATTGTGTCATGTATTTTGATATTATGTATTGCGTTAATTCTCATATCATCTCATATTCTGGCCTGTGACTTTAGAAGACTGATCCTCCATGGTGAAAATCCCAGGTTTAAAAGGCCTCTTTCCCACCGTTTTCCCGTTCCACACAGCAATTTCAAGTCTGGTCAAACACACAGGTCTTCAGTGAAAAAAGTTTATATTTTAAGTCTCCTGCCTTGAACAGAAATAGAAATGGCACGTAATTTCAATGCTTCTGAAATCCATGCCAATTCAGGAAATGGTAACTGATCAGGTTGGTTAAGAATATATCCTAGCTGGATAATTTTGTATAACAACTCAAATAACTGGCATCTAATTCAGATATCAAGTTAAATAGTCCATTATTACCATAATTAAGTAACTAGTAACACTAGTATTGAAATTAAGTACAGCTAAGAGTACATTTTCCATCTCCTCTGTTGAAACATGTATTTGCTAAGTACCATATTTAGAAGGAGGGGAAACTTAATACACTGTAATCTCATGCTCTCATTATGGTTGTTACTCTGCAATGCACATAACATTTTTCAACGAGCCACTGTTCTCATTTCAGATTTGGTGGAGAATTTTGATGAAGCGTCGAAGAACGAGGCAATCTAGAGGCTACGTTTGGGCATTTGAGTATTTTATCTCAAGAGGTGGATGTGGGTTGTATTAACCTGTTCATATTGTGTACCCTAAATGGAATGTACCATTTTTGTATAACAAGATTACAACATGCATGGTGCTATATTGTCCTGTAATATTGTGCTCAATGTGGTAACAAGACGCAATTGTAAATCTGCACCGTTACTGAACCTTTCCTTTGTGGCCTCGCTTCAACCCTTATCTGGAAATAAATCTTTGCTACTGTCACAAAACTTGCATTTTATTATTAGCCGTTTTGCTTCATGACTGAATCATATTTTACCAAATGTCTTTAACGGCCGTACAAAAACATGGTTATGAATCTGGGGTCATTGGGGAATTAATACATAAAACAATTATCACGACTAACATTTTGAAATAAATTATATTTACAGCAAATCCAACACACATGCATTTCAGTAATCTAAAAAATACAATACCTCAGTGTGAAACGTTAAATTTAAGTACTCCCAAGACTTGGTACAAAAACTTAGTTGGCTACAATTGCACTCTTCCCAGATTCTTCATCCTCTGATACCCATTAGAAGCTTTAGTAAATGAGCTTCCATTGCCTGTTGAACTACAAAATGAAAGACCATTGAGATGACCGTGAAAGATGATTTAGAAACATATTGCAATAGTTTATACCATTTCGATGGCCCATAGCTACGGCCATATCCATAGCATTAAAACCGGAGTCTGACTCGATGGTCGGATCAGCGCCACTCTCTAGGATACAAAGGCATAAGTACTAATCATGAGAAACCAAACGACTGATTAGCAATAACCATGTCATTCCTTTTACCTAGAAGGATTTCCACACAGCGAACATGGTTTCCATGAACAGCATACAAGAGAGGGGCTCCTCCATTCTAAATGAGCAAACATTAGTTCAGCAAATAAGTTTATTTTTTTCCTTTAACACTCACCCAGTCATATTCATTGACATCAACCCCACAGTCAATGAGCATCTTCACAATATCTGTGTATCCTTTACTGCAGGCCAAAGACAAAGCACTTTCCCTTCCTTTGGCTAAAAGGTTAGGGTCTGCTCCCTTGAAACAAAACAAAGAAATGTTACAAATCTTAAGAGGAACTTTGGTCCAATCACCAAATATTTAAAAAATAATTTACATTTTGAAGCAGAAATTCAACCACAGCAATCTGTCCATGAGCTGCAGCCCACATCAAGGGGGTAAATCCTTCCTCGTCTTGAATATTAATGACATTCTCTGTTGGTCACAAATATGAATCGTTATTCTGGACTATGAAGTGCACCTGTATATAAGCCACACTAGCAAAAGTATATTTTTACACATATAGGCCACACTTCAATATAAGCTGCAGGTTTTGATGATGTAGCACATAACTGATAGCCAGACGACTGTTTTTACTTGCCACAACATAATATAACGACAGTGTTTAACAGCTTAACTGTTAGCTTCCATAACTAATAATTCACAAGTCTACGTAGACAATAAACAAGTGTCCTATAGACCCTTGATTGAGTCAAAATATTAACTCTGCTCGGACAGCAGCCCAACTCTATCACAACAAAAATACACACATTGGCCACATCAAGATAAAAGCCGCAGGGTACAAAGAAATAGAAAGTGGTGGATTAACGCCCAGCAATTAAAGTTACTCTCAGGGTGAATACAATCTTACCTTGTTCAATTCTACTTGCCAAGAATACCATTTCTCCCTGGGCAGCGAGTTGATGAATTGATAATGCTAAAACACAGATCACAATTAAACATGTCCCCTATTTAGACTATTGATAGAAATCCACATGTCTTACAGTGCACAAGAAGGGGAGTGGAAGACACCTCGTTCCCTCGATGTTTGTTAGTGAGGGTGGTGGACTGTTTGATGGGAGAAAAATGTTTTGTGGTGGACGGAGTATAAACATGGCGTACTTGTATACCCGGAGAAGGAGAGGTCTGTATATTGCACTCGGCTTAAGGGAAAAAATAGAAACAATTAATGGTGAACAAAAGGAATTATATATGTAAACTCATTGCACATTACCTTTGAATAAAACAGAAGCCACCTCCAGATCTGAGTTGACTTGATCCTGGATGTTTTTACTGTCTTCCTCATTCAACGACTTTACAAATCTCGAGCATACGTTCATATCAAACCTATTGGGTAAAATGAATTTGATTCCCATCGACACATTTTGGCTTCCTCCCTCCTCGTTAGCTCCAGTGTCCTCAGTCTTAATGGCTCCAATATCTGGCATCACGCAAATCCCCTCCATGTCTTCGACGGCAGCTGGGTTTCCGCGGGGGTTCGCCATTATGTTGTAAATCAATCGACCATCCACGATTTTAACACATCTATAAACAGGTTAAGACAGTTTCGGTTAGCGTTCACGGCTATCGTCAATGTTAGCTGTGATCATAGTTTAATATAGCTAGGTTAACACAAGACTGTGTTATGTTGACGTTAGCTAGCGAGCATATCTGACGCTACGTACAATCAAATTAGCATATGCAAATGTCATGAAACGCTATGTAATATGTTCATAATAATCTATTCCCCAAACTTACACGGTAATGTTTCATTTCACGTCCAGTTTATTTTCCCATGTCGTTGTTTGCGATTGCATTTTCCTCCGTTCTGCGCATGTGCGGGTCCGTCTAATATTTCATTCCGTGCACCTTTTTTCCGCTCATGGTTCCGCTCCGTGCATTATCTGTGGACCTTGTAGTAACACCGTTATAGCAACAGAGGGTTGTATTGAGCTTTGGGTCTGGTGGTACCATAGACTGTGGTACCATGAAGCAGAGTATTAATTAATTAAATAAAAGTCGCAGTGATTAATGCTTTGCACATTATGAGCGGAATGCCTGCTACAGCAGTTGTGCAGGTGACAAACCTGTCTTCTGCCGTGAGCAGTGAACAAATGCGCACCTTGTTTGGATTCCTGGGCCACATCGAGGAGCTCCGTCTGTACCCACCAGAGTAAGAGCGACCTCGGGCTGGGATGGCAAGGCTTAGCCGTGGTTATGGGGCCCACTACCAAATGACGCTTATTAAATGTCAGTGTTTTCCCTTGCAGTAATGGCCCTCTCTCCTTCTCGTCGAAAGTGTGCTATATAAAGTTTCGGGAACCGTCTAGTGTTGGTGTGGCGCAGCATCTCACCAATACCGTTTTTATTGACAGAGCGTTGATTGTGGTGCCCTGTGCTGAAGGTGAGTTAAACCTGTAAATCACTTTCATTCATTCTTATCTTGTTTTGATTTAATGTAATTCAGGGATTAGCTTACATACCGTCAATTAACTCCCCTAAATCTGTCATCCAAATTACACTGTTTTTGTTAGTTGTACCATGTTTTTAATGCATGTTTGATTATTGCTAATATTACTACTGTCTGTGAACACGTTACTGTATCCCTTGTCTTTATTTCTGTCTGTCTCCCTGTACACCCCCAATCACCTTTTATGCTGACACAAGGCCCCACTGTCTATGGTTCAAATAATCAGCACTTGTCTTGTCTTAAATACTACTCTGTCCTCAGTCTCATGTATACAGCCATTGAGTTCATTAATTTGGTTTTTTCTGTGATTATGTGTGCATATCAGATGACTAGACTGGCCCAGCCGTAACACTACACTAGCCTGAGTCAGGCATTGTTTTCCAAGCCACTATTCCTGATCGGGCCATGACGAAGCTTTCCAGGGGGAATGTGACCAGGAGACTAGTCCACTGAGCCTTCCAAGACGGACACCTGTCTCTATCTATTGTATTTTATTTTGGTTTGTTATTTTTATCATAATCTCCCATTCTGTTCACTCTCCACTATTTCTCTCTATATAGTTCAGTATTGTGTTGTTTTTACTTTCTTTTTTTATTGTCCAACCCCAACCCCCTCTCTCTCTCCGCTGCAGCTGCATCTTGTGTATGGTTGATCTCTCCAGGTTGCTACCTCAAACCCGTGGGATGCCCATCAGACACTGGACACTCTGAGGATTACTAACCACTCGATCTTTTAAAAACTTATTTCACGTTTAACTTTCTGTTGCTGTTATAGCATATGCAAACTCATGCTGAGCAATTTTTTAATCGTGAATCTACACTTCAGCCTCAAACCTTTTGATTCTTGCATCGAGTTGTGCAATATCTTATCTCGAGTGAAAAGGAAGCGTAAATGTTATTGTTTTTTCTGTAGCAAATTAGTTCAAGTTCTGGATAACCTACCTAAATTTGTTGTTCTCTCTGTATTTGATGTTCTGTGCTATTAGTGATGCAGCCATTGGGGTTGTCTTGTGTTGCGCAACATTCCAACACTGCCAAACGATCGCCCTCGGGAACGTGTCCATGCTTGATATCGTATGGTTCATGACCAATATCTTACCAGTACAGGTGACCCAAATACCCAAGTAATTCATTCTCTGCATTTCTTTTATCTTTCTTGATTTAGAAACATAGTCAAGTTTAATCATTTTTGGTCTTAAAATTAATCCCTGACAAGATAATTTAGTGAGATACTGATTGATGCCAATTATTTATAATGTTTAAAAAAAAGATTGAGGATACCCGGGCATTGGTATGTCCTATTCAATCATTATTAACATTTAGACAGACATATTGTACACTTTCTTTCTCTCTAGACGTCAGTGGGCTTTTGTGCAGGAAGAGACTGCATTAAAATGGACTATCACTATTTACTTATTCTATCCTCCGATCTGCAGGGAAGATTCCAGAAGAGGCAAAGGCCTTGTCATTGTTGGCACCTGCAACTCCCATTTCCAGTCTGCTTTCTGGTGGAGGACTGCTGCCAATTCCTCCTCCTCCTCTTCAAAATGTGTGTTCTAAAAACGAAAGTCTAAAAAAAGGAAGTATGTTAATTTGCATAACTGTACATGTATTTGCATTTATACTTGCAGTTGAGCCCTCCATTTGTGAATCGGATCTCAGCTGGACTAGAACACGTTTCAACAATACAGTCCCAGCCACTGCTGATGGGAAATGTTGATCCTACAAAAATTGATGAAATAAGAAGAACTGTGTATGTTGGCAATTTAAACTCGCAGGTGAATGTGTTTATAGGTCATGTTTAACCCGCCTCACACGCCTCAGATTGTCATGAAATATTCTTGTTTATCCAGACCACTACTGCCGAACAGCTACTAGAGTTCTTCAAGCAGGTGGGGGACGTTAAGTTTGTCCGAATGGCTGGAGATGAGACTCAGCCCACCCGCTTCGCTTTTGTAGAGTTTGTAGACCACGAATCTGTCGCCAGAGCCCTGACCTTTAATGGAGTCATGTTTGGAGACAGACCATTAAAGTATATTTCCATCAAAAACATTATTGATTCATAGCTACAGTGTACATTAACTGTTTACATTTTCTGCTCAGGGTAAATCACTCCAACAATGCTATTGTAAAACCCCCCGAGCTGACACCACAGGCTGCGGCAAAAGAACTTGAGAATGTTATGAGACGGGTTCGAGAAGCCCAGTCTACCATCGCCGCTGCTATTGAACCAGGTGAGACTTGTGTTTGATGCTTACGAGGCTAATTCGGAGTTGACCGTAAATGTGTCCTTTAGTAGACGATAAAAAGAGTTCCTCGCGTTGGTCCAGGAGATCACAGCGCTCACAGTCACACACGGTTCCACGAAAGAAAAGGTCTCATTCCAAATACAGGTGCAGATGAAATGTTTCCTATTAACAGAGAATACATACTTTTGCTCTATATGACTTGACTGTTTATGTCTACCTTGTGCCATTGCCTGAAATAAATGAAAAACAAAAATTGAATGTACACAAAATTTTTATCACAGCTTTTTTTTTCTTCTTTGGAGCAGATCATCTCAGAAAGCAATGCCCAGAGATTCCCACAGTTCCCGGGGCAGCCACAAGAGGCGCAGTCGTTCCAGGGACCGCAAGCACAGCCGCAGTCGATCGAGGTGCAGAATTATGGCAGGGGGTGTTTGATACATTTCATTCAACTATGTTTTAGTATTTTAACTCCACATGACCACAACTTAAGTTCTGTCCAGTTCATCTCAAATTAGGCATTAGGCATTCTGTTGTTTTTATCAATTAATCAACAATCTGTAGAGCGCCTTTCCTACACAAGGCAACGCAAGGAGCCTCATAACCCATATCACATCAGGCATAAATCATAAACATTCAGATCTACTTTATACTAAAATACTACTTATTTTTTAAATCAATTTTTAAATTGTAAAAAACGATGCCTCCCCATGTCTAGTCCTGATTCTGGGCACAAGGAAGAGGCCACTCCCTGTGCTCCTCAGCGTTTTATCCACTTTTTCCAGTCACTTTACAATACTTCGTAGCCACAGTTGTCCTGAAATGTTTTGGCACAAACAAGGTTTAACCCTTCTGGCTAAAGTGATGTATAGAATCATGCTTTTTGTGTTGGTTCAGAGGTAAGAGGAGAAGAAAGGATCAGTCACAAAGTCCTCATCGGAAACCACCATCTCTAAAAAGGTGTTTTTTTAAAGAGGCTACCATACTGAATTGTGTCAAATTGATAGCTCACACTTTTGTTTATTTTTCAGAAGTAAGAAAGAGAGGCGACGGGAACGGAGTAGAGAAAGAAAAGTGCCCTCTACGTCTAAAAGACATCGCAAAGAGGTGGGAATGCCGAAGAGCAAGAGGAAATCACTAAAGGTGCTTACTACTCTGTACAATACTCAAGAGGTCTTTTCATATTCTTTCCTTCTACTTCAGTCACACGCTTTGGTTCTGGATAGTTGATGGTGGTGTTTTCTGCAGGGAGACAGACGAGAGGGAAAGAGAGCGTACGTCAGCGACAGAGAAGACTCGTTCTCACCGAGTGAAGACGCGTCCTCTCCCTTCACTCAGCACAACGGCAGCTTCAGAAAACCTCAAGCATCGACGTCTGTGTGACTGTCGCTGTGGTACTGTTACCAGTTTGTTCTCCCATTTCTCCACACTACGGCTGCTTCTAACAATTATTTTTGATAACGTAAACACTGTAAAAAGTCCACTCCTGTGTCTTGGAACATGATATCAAATGGCTTGAATTAAGATAAAATATTTACTGTTTCTTTGGAGAAAAATATCACTATTTTAAGCTATTGACTTTATATGTTAAAATATAACACTGTTGCAGTGTAATTATTACATTGGTATGTCATTTATTGTTTTGTCTTCATCATAGCGGCTTTTTTTGAGGTATATTTTGACAAAATAACTTTTCAATTACTAAAACTAGTTGCTTGTAATGTTCATAATCTATGGATTGATTCAGTTTGCTTGACATTCAGACGATTTAAGTTTAAGGGGAAAATTGAATGAACATTAAAATCTTCTCCGGGGGTCGGTAACCTCTCTGTTAATGACGACTTCTGATTGATCTGACCTGTTGGTGTCACAGGAGCCAATCACGTCTGCCCATGTCTGTTCTACATCTTTTATTAGAAATTCCCCATAATGCCAATCTCAACCGATACTGTTAGTTTTGTGTGTCAGCAAATAATATAACTATTATTTGAAAGCATTTTTTACTATTCAGTTTTTGCTGAATTTGAGCTATATTTGAATACATGTATACATTATTTTTGTTAATATAAAATAATGTATAGTTTGTCAAACATAAACATAAGGAGGCATCATGCATTTTTTTTAGCAATAAGTCTGGTTTGGGAAGTGCAAACCCACTTTTTATCTGCTCCACGACAGCAGAGAGAGAATCTCTGCTGTCGTGGAGCAGATAAAAAGTGGGTTTGCTGATGTAGTTTCTCTGGTAATACTTTAGATTAGTCCTCACTAACTAACATCTTATCAAGTGTTATTAATGTACCCCAACCCTGATCTTAGCCCTAACAGGTGTCAGTCAGTAGTTAGATGTTGAATAAGGATTAAAAAGTTCTTAATAAATACCAATTAAGAGCGAATTAACCATAAAAGATCGACTAATGCAGGAGGGTCTGTTGGGCAGTTAGTGTCCAACTAGAAGGACTGTGGTGATGATCCAGGACACTTTATCGTTCTACAACATGTATGGACATTTTTCAACATGTGTTCTATATTCTTTATGTGTCTTAACTGTTGATTCTCTGATCTGTGTTGGTGATTTCAATGGTTTTGTTTAGTCTCTGAGATAACTTCTGTGGTGATTTAGGGCTATACAAGAATACATTGTATTGTATTGTAATTAGTGAGGGTTAAACTAAAGTGTGACCAAATCCTCATATTCCAGAACTCTGTGAGTTGGGTCATAATAGAAGCAGACAGAAGAACAACATTTTTACCATAATTTATTCTGTGCGCTGTCTCCCATCAGTCCCTTGTATTCCAGAACCAAGTGTCCATCAGCAGAACAAACACTGAACCGGGCCTGGGGTCAGGTCACAGATTCCTATACCACACATTCACCTCGAGATCGCAGGAGCTAGAGTTGATCCAGATGTCAGAGTGGCCACAGTGAAACCGAAGCGACAATACACAGAAAGTATATTTGCATTAATGGTTTTTGGCAAATCATTCATCCATTTGTGAAACAGGACTCACCGCACAGAGACAGAAGACAATCACATGTATCTGACACGTTTATAAAACTCCAAAGAGACACAAGCAAGTTACAAGAGAATAATAGTGGCCCCTGATCTGTCTGACGCCTCTAGTGCACACTGGGGTAGTCTTGCACAGTTTTTCCAATGTGGTTTTACTGCAATTGGCAAATAAATTCTTGAATCTTGAATCTAATACATTGAAAGACATATACTGTTCAATTGTTGGTCTTGTTTAAATGTTCATGCAGTACACTTGATTTTGTTCATAGTGAATTTACATTTTTGGCTGACTCACATAAAACATCGCCGACCCCAGATTCCTCGCACACTGCTAACTGTAAAAACTAAAATGTGCCCTTGTGTAAATACATTTTCTGTAGATTTCCGCAAACAAATAGGATTTTACATACATTAAACTGTGCTGTTGCAATAATGGTAGCTCTGACTTCTCACGTATTGTTTTTTCTTGTGTTTATATTTATCGGATGTTTGTACTGTGAACAAAGACAGTGCAAAATAAAGTGCACTTTATTTGCAAACATATTTTTGAAAACCTTTTTTTGTAGTTTATTTACCTATAAAAATCCATATTAAAAATTGTATAAAAAATCTGTAAATCCAGGAAGTATTCAATAAAATATGTATTATACTTTGTTCGTCATTTGTCTAACATGTGTTTTCATGTTAATGGAATTTGTAATTTGTTAATGGAAGAGAGAGTTCAGATAAGCCCTGTTAGAATGTGACTATAGAAAACATATGAAACACTTTTCTTTTCGACCAGAGAGACACAGCATCTGTCAGGCTGTACATAAAAATAAAAATAAATCCTATTTCAGTTTGACAGTGTTTTGTGAGCACCACGTCACAGCATACAGTAGATATGCAGCTAAAATGCTGGTGCTGAGTCCAAACTTCAGGTATGTGAGGTGATCGTTCTTTTAAGAAATGAAAGTGCGCCTCTTGAAAGTGGTCTGCAATCTATGAGGAACTCTCTTTTTTCTAGTTTTCCAGTGTGGTCTAATTTGTATTCCTCCTCACTGTTTTTAGCTTTTTATTTCAAAAATCTTCAGTCTTTCATCCTTTTTCTGCCCCTTTATTGCAATGAGAGCTGCAACCAGTCCATTGCTGATCCTCCGGCAGGTGGTGGGTCCAGAGGAACATGGCTGCTGCTCCGTCATGGAAGACACGGCTTTGGAGTTTCAGCGTGAGCTTCGGGCAAAGTGGGGTTACGTATCTTGCTCATTGACACAACGACAGCAGACATCAGTGGGAGCAGTTGGAGAAGGTCTCGTGGGGGGATCGAACCCACAACCTTCAGACCCAAAAGCCAATACTTTACCAACTGTCGCCCCCTGAATGAAAATGTGATTGCGTAAATGAACCGTTCAGAATGTCGTGGATAAATCAAAGAGGGAGCTGGAGCTAAACTGTCCGACATCGCTCTGGCCCGGTTTGGTTTCACCCACATCGTCTTGTATCAATCTCTCTCTGGCTTTTTGAGTCATAGAGGGGCTGCTCTGAAACGTCAGAAGTTGCTGAAACATTTCCATAGTCGTGTATCCGCAGGTGAAAGCGGTTTGAGGACTGAGAAGTGATTTCAGCGGTGTGTCTGAGTCTCGTACTGACGCTCTCGTACAGACTTTGCTCTCTGCGGTGACGAGATGCGGAACACTGACCGTCGCTTGTTCTTTGATAATCAGCAGTTCATTTGTGTGCCACTCTTCCACTTGCAAAGTTTGAAGCATCTTGAGTTGTTCCTAAGGGCAAAAATACATACAGTATAAAACATTACCCTTCAAGCACCAGAGGTTTTCTTAATTTCTATGGCTATAACTAAAATGTGATGGGAGATAGAGGCTTTCTGTAAATCAGAGAAATATCAAGGATGGCCCAAAGTTTAAGCAGGGATAAAATTTACCCATCTAATTTGCATATTACAACGTTTTAATCTTGTTTTATTTATGTGCTTGTCTCGTGCATAATGGACTTTTGTGAGTGTACAGTATTCCAATGTGGTTTTACTACGAACGGCAAATACAATGAATATGAATCTGTCATATGGCGGTGGCAATCATGGATTTTAGAATTTACATGACTTTTTTTTCTTTTTCTTTTTTAATAACAGACATACGAATCCTTAGGACATGAACACACAAACAGAGCTCACAGGGAAATAGTAAAAAAGTGAAAATCGTTACTGCTCCAATTGTGAGCAGCGAATGCCAATTCTGCATTTTCCACAATCCGCCATTTTAAACAGTACCACATCTTGTCGACTTAAAAGAACCACTAAACACCAAATCAACTTTTTTAAAACTTGCATAAAACTGGAGTACCTGGAGGAAACTGCATAAATATGTTTCAACCGCGGCGCCTAGAGGGTTAATAATATCAGATACTCACAATCTCCCTGGAGTTCTCCATTTTTTGTATAGCATTGCTGTTCTCTGGATTTGGAAGGCTTGGCCAAAGAACTGCTTTCATTCTACAGATTTAAAGACATAAATTACAATTATAAATTATAAATAAAAAATGAGCTTGCACATTTATGTTTATATGAACTTACCTTTTTACTATTGAACACGCCACCACCAGCAGGACGATTGCAGCAACAAAGATCATTATAATCACTGTGTCTTTCATATACACTTTGTGGGGAAATTTAAATAAAAGAACATTTAACTATTATATATATTATTACAATCTCCATCATCATTTGTTCATTACTTGTTCTAACCTTGTGTACATGTCTGAAAAATGCCTTTGATGCTTCTTACTCCTGTTCCAGCCCGAGTGAAACCTGAAATCTCAACATTGTATCCGGTGCCTGGTTTGAGGTCTTCGATCACATAACTGGTCGTCTCTGCACCTACATAAGCAACTGTCGTAAAACGTTAAAATAAAGTAGTCAAATGTAGATGCAAAAAGAAACAGGCAAACTGTTACGACACCTTTCTCTGCTGCTGACGTGTCTCTGCTGCTGTATTCTTTGTAGTAAATGATATAGCCCAAGAGAAAGCCTCTGAGGTCGTCTTCTGGGATGGGAGACCACGTCAGCACCAACGAACTGGACGTTACATTATTATAGCTGATGTTTGTAGGGGGACTGATGGGAGCTGCAGGGAGTTGACGAATAGTTAGAGCAGGCATGTCAAACTCAGGCTAAATCTGTGGGCTAAACCCGACTTGCTAGAACATTTTTAGTGGCCCCTGAAATTTTCTTTATCACAGTAACTTGCCGCATTGATGGTAAAGGTATACTATGACATGTTACACTTAATTTCAAAGTCCCCTATCTCAAGAAAACCATTGAATAAAAAGTTAACTAAAATGTAATTAGAAGTTATAGTAACTTTTTTCTGTTAACAGTCCTCAGAATCTCTTTGTTATATTTTGCCCAGTTGTGGTTGAATCTAGCTTGGTCTTACCATACTGGATTTGCTCCATTGAGCTCAGTTGACAACTGGGAGGGATTAACTCTTTTTGCAGAGTGAAACGATTGGATCCGAGTTTACCGTGATGCGCCCGAGTGAGTGAGACATTTAGCATTTAGCCTAGCTTTAGCCATCTCCTTTGCCACTTACAGAGCCCGTGGGGAGTAGAGCCACAACATCTTTGCCAGCAATGATATTTGCTAAACCCTCTTGCTCCGGCTTCAATTTCTTATATTTGGAGCCGAACTATTGCATTCGCCGCCATGGCCAAACTACAATCAGCGAATTTGGCGCAAAATCATGACGTCACCGACATCCGCCCACAGCACCCGCCTCCCCCGCTCGCTGAATGGTCGGATGGGATACCGATACAACCGAGATACAGATTCATTTATTTGCCATTTGCAGTAAAACCACATTGGAAAAACTGTGCAAGACTACCCCAGTGTGCACCACTTGTCTGGAGTTTACAGATGGCTAAGTCTGGGCTAGGTTGAATCCAAAGCTACTAGAAAATAATATCCAAACTCCTGTCAAATAAAATGAATTACTATGTACCACTTATACTTCTGGCCCCCAACAGCTTTTAATTGGTTTAATTTCCCCCCCAACCAAAATGAGTTTGACACCCCTGAGTTAGAATAATAAAGTTATTTGTCAGTAGCTCCACTTTCTACTTACTTCCTTCCTTGTAGTAGAACTGCACACTTCCATATGTGCTCTCGCTGCCGTTCACATGCTTCAGTTCGCAGGTCTCTTTCTTCGGCCTCGTGTGTAGATAAAGCATGTACCTCTTGTATGGCTTCAAAGATTCTAATCATTCAACATTTAAGTTCCATTCATTTACAAAAGCCAAATCTGAACGTTCTGTACATATCTGTTAAATTCTGTTCATACCTGTTAAGTTCACCGTCTTGTTACTTGCTACGTCCTCAAAGAATGATAAATATTCAGTTTTATGTTGATTTTTCCGACTCCACTCCACAGAGTAGCAGTTGTAGCTGTCCAGGAGTTGAGAATCCCACTGGACGGTAAAAGAAGTTTTGCTATGGACTGTGACATGTAATCTCTCAGCACCCATGCCTGTGTTAAAACAAAATGTAATAATTCAAAGTATACATTTTTATTTTTTATTGATTATTTGGTCGTGACAGTGCACGTTAATGAACACACCTCTCTGGATTGTAGCCTTGGGATAATTTAACAAACACACACTCATTCACCCTGATTGTACATGTTTTTGGTGATAGAGGAAACCGTAGCACCCGGAGGAAATCGAAAATCATTATTACTTTTGTGTGTGTGTCTTTTAAAATATTTGTAAATGTTCGTGTGAAGCACTTTGGGTTGCACTGCATGAGTTGTGCTTTATAAATAAACTTGATTGATTGTTACAGCGGCATTCTGGACGGTACTCACTTGTTACGGCGTCACAGTTTTCTATGTTTCGGGTGAGAACTGGAGAAACGCTGACATTGTTGAAGGCGCTGATGTGGACCGTAAACGCCGAGCAGGACAGATGAAGTGAGATCGCACCCTCACTGGTGTTAAATTGGTTTTTGGGCGGCTCTCCGGAGGCTTTTTGAACGTTTATGAAATATCCATCGAGCTTATCAATCTCCACAGTCTGAAAAATACAGATTCATAATTCAGAAATATTTAACAGTATACGATTAACTTGCAATATAAATAAAATGTTGTATTATTATTATTATTATTATTATTATTGTTATTAACTTTGCGTGTGAAGTGTCTTACCTGCCAAGTGATTGTCACCAAACGAATTCCTTTTGCAGTTGGATGGTTCGTTTTTTCAAGATGGATGAGAGTAGGTTTTGTTTTCAGTTCTAAAAGGAAGAATGTAATGAATGTAAAGAGATCCTTTACTCGTCCCACAGTGGGGAAATTTCAGTGTTGCATCACCGGTTACAGAACTGTAGGAATGAGGAGTTTTTAAGTGAACTATAACGCTATACTAAAATAAGCATAATAAAATAATTAGCATAATAAAGAAGCAAGTCTAAAATCTCTGACTCTAGCATTATAAAGAAGCAGGTCTAATGTCTCTAACTTTAGCATAATAAAAAAAACAAGAATTTGGTATAAAATTTCTGACTTTAGCATTAAAAGTAAGCTAGTCTTAAATCTCTGACTTTAGCATAATAAAGAATCAAGTGTAGAATCTCTAACAATAGCATAATAAATAAGCTAGTCTAAAATCTGACTTCAGCATAATAAAGTAGCCAGAATTTAGTATAAAAATCTCTGACTTTAGCATATTAAAGAAGCAAGTGTAAAATCTCTACCAATAGCATAAAAAAAGAAGCCAGTCTAAAATCTCTAACTTTAGCATCTCTGACTTTAGTATAAGAAAGAAGAAGCAGGTCCTTTATTCGTCCCACAATGGGGAAGTTTCAGTTTGATGCATACACATATAGTACATACATACAGTGCCTTGTGAAAGTATTCGGCCCCCTTGAACCTTTCAACATTTCGCCACATTTCAGGCTTCAAACATAAAGATATAAAATTTAAATTTTTTGTCATGAATCAACAACAAGTGGGACACAATCATGAAGTGGAACGAAATTTATTGGATAATTTAAACTTTTTTAACAAATAAAAAACTGAAAAGTGGGGCGTGCAATATTATTTGGCCCCTTTACTTTCAGTGCAGCAAACTCAGTCCAGAAGTTCAGTGAGGATCTTTGAATGATCCAATGTTGTCCTAAATGACTGATGATGATAAATAGAATGCACCTGTGTGTAATCAAGTCTCCGTATAAATGCACCTGCTCTTTGATAGTCTCAAGATTCTGTTTAAAGCGCAGAGAGAACCATGAAGACAAAGGAACACACCAGGCAGGTCCAAGATACTGTTGTGGAGAAGTTTAAAGCCGAATTTGGATACAAAAAGATTTCCCAAGCTTTAAACATCTCAAGGAGCACTGTGCAAGCAATTATATTGAAATGGTAGTGAATGGACTGCCACTCCCCCTTGGACTGCCACCTTAAGTGGTGGGGGAGATTGAGCACTCGGATGATCCTGGGAGCTATGCTGTCTGGGGCTTCATGCCCCTGGTAGGGTCTCCCATGGCAGACAGGTCTCAAGTGACGAGTCAGACGAAGCGCAGTCCGAAGCCAACCATGGACAGCACGACAACGAAAACCGTGACGTCGCCCGGCATGGCGCAGCCGGGGCCCCACCTTGGAGCCAGGCCTGGGGTCGGGGCTCGCAAGCGAGCGCCTGGTGGCCGGGCCTTAGCCCACGGGGCCCGGACGGGCTCAGCCCGAAGGGATGACGTGGGCAGTCCCTCCTGTGGGCCCACCACCTGCAGAGGGGTCCGTGGTGGCGTGGTGCAGCGAGGACTGGGTAGCAGTCGAAGGCGGAGACCTCGACGACCCAGTCCACACACCCAACATCTGGCTCTTGGGATGTGGAACGTCACCTCACTGGGGGGGAAGGAGCCCGAGCTTGTGGGGGAGGTTGAGCGATACCGACTAGAGATAGTCGGCCTCACCTCCACACACAGCTTGGGCTCTGGAACCCAACTCCTTGAGAGGGGTTGGACGCTCCACTTTTCTGGTGTTTCCCGCGGGGAGAGGCGGCGAGCTGGGGTGGCCATACTCATTGCCCCCCATCTCAGCCGCCACGTGTTGGAGTTCTCCCCGGTGAATGAGAGGGTCGCGTCCCTCCGCCTCCGGGTGGGGGACAAGTCTCACACTATTGTGACGGCCTACGGGCCTAACAGCAGTGCAGAGTACCCGGCCTTCTTGGAGTCCTTGGGAGGGGTACTGGACAGTGCACCGCCCGGGGACTCCGTTATTCTCCTGGGGGACTTCAACGCCCATGTGGGAAATGCCAGTGACACTTGGAGAGGGGTGACCGGGAAGAACGGCCCCCCTGATCTGAACCCGAGCGGTGTTCAGTTGTTGGACTTCTGTGCCAGTCACGGCCGGTCCATCACGAACACCATGTTCGAGCACAAGGGTGTCCATCAGTGCACGTGGCACCAGGACACCCTAGGCCGGAAGTCGATGATCGATTTTGTTGTCGTATCATCTGACCTTCGACCGCGTGTCTCGGACACTCGGGTGAAGAGAGGGGCGGAGCTGTCAACCGATCATCACCTGGTCGTGAGTTGGATCCGCTGGCAGGGCAGGAGGCCGGTCAGACCTGGCAGGCCCAAGCGTGTAGTGAGGGTTTGCTGGGAACGTCTTGCTGAGCCCCCTGTCAGACGGACTTTCAACTCACACCTCCGGGAGAGCTTCTCCCAGGTCCCGGCAGAGGAGGGGGACATCGAGTCCGAGTGGACCATGTTCTCTTCCTCTATCGCCAATGCGGCGGCTCGTAGCTGTGGTCGCAAGGTCTCTGGTGCTGGTCCCGGCGGCAATCCCCGAACCCGGTGGTGGACACCGGCAGTAAGGGATGCCGTCAGGCTGAAGAAGGAGTCCTATCGAGCAATGATGGTTCGTGGGACTCCTGAGGCAGCTGTCCAGTACCGGCAGGCCAAACGTGCCGCGGCCCGGGCTGTTGCAGAGGCAAAAACCCGGGACTGGGAGGAGTTCGGAGAGTCCATGGAGCATGACTATCGGTCGGCCTCGAAGAGGTTCTGGCAAACCGTCCGGCGCCTCAGGAGGGGGAAGCAGTTCTTTGTCAACACCGTGTATGGTGCGGGTGGAGGGCTGCTGACCTCGACTGGGGATATTGTCGGGCGGTGGAAGGAATACTTCGAGGTTCTCCTCAATCCCCCCGTCACGTCCTCCGTCCAGGAGGCAGAGGCTGAGGATGTTGGGGCGGACACTTCCATCTCCCTGGCCGAGGTCACCAAGGTGGTTGGCAGCCTCCATGGTGGCAAGGCGCCGGGAGTGGATGAGATCCGTCCTGACTTTCTAAAGTCTCTGGATGTTGTAGGACTGTCTTGGCTGACACGTCTCTGCAGCATCGCGTGGCGATCGGGGGCGGTGCCAATGGAGTGGCAGACCGGGGTGGTGGTCCCTCTCTACAAGAAGGGGGACCGGAGGGTGTGTTCCAATTATCGTGGGATCACACTCCTCAGCCTCCCCGGTAAGGTCTACTCCAAGGTACTGGAGAGGAGGCTACGTCCGATGGTCGAATCTCGGATTCAGGAGGAGCAGTGTGGTTTTCGTCCCGGTCGCGGAACACTGGACCAGCTCTATACTCTCCATCGGATACTCGAGGGTTCATGGGAGTTCGCCCAACCTGTCCACATGTGCTTTGTGGATTAGGAGAAGGCGTTCGACCGTGTTCCCCGGGGTGTCCTTTGGGGGGGTCCTCCGGGGTCCTCTGCTGAGGGCCGTCCGGTCCCTGTATGACCGGAGTCAGAGCTGTGTTCGCATTGCCGGCAGTAAGTCAGACCTGTTCCCGGTGCATGTTGGCCTCCGCCAAGGCTGCCCTTTGTCACCGGTTCTGTTCACTGTATTTATGGACAGAATCTCTAGGCGCAGCCAGGGGCCGGAGGGGGTCCGGTTCGGGAGCCACAGGATTTCATCTCTACTTTTTGCGGATGATGTCGTCCTGCTGGCTCCAACGAACCAGGACCTGCAGCATGCACTGGGACGGTTTGCAGCCGAGTGCGAAGCGGCTGGGATGAGAATCAGCACCTCCAAATCCGAGGCCATGGTGCTCGACCGGAAAAAGGTGCCTTGCCCTCTCCAGGTGGGTGGAGAGGTCCTTCCTCAAGTGGAGGAGTTCAAGTATCTCGGGGTCTTGTTCACGAGTGAGGGAAGGATGGAGCGTGAGATTGACAGGCGGATCGGTGCAGCGTGCGCAGTGATGCGGTCTCTGTATCGGACCGTTGTGGTAAAGAGGGAGCTGAGCCGAAAGGCGAAGCTCTCGATTTACCGGTCAATCTTCGTTCCCTCCCTCACCTATGGTCATGAGCTGTGGGTAATGACCGAAAGAACGAGGTCGCGGATACAAGCGGTCAAAATGAGCTTCCTCCGCAGAGTGGCTGGGCGCTCCCTTAGAGATAGGGTGAGGAGCTCAGTCACACGGGAGGAGCTCGGAGTAGAGCCGCTGCTTCTCCACGTCGAGAGGAACCAGTTGAGGTGGCTCGGGCATCTGTTCAGGATGCCTCCTGGACGCCTTCCTGGGGAGGTGTTCCGGGCACGTCCCACCGGGAGGAGGCCCGGGGAAGACCCAGGACACGCTGGAGAGACTATGTCTCTCAGCTGGCCTGGGAACGCCTTGGGGTCCCCCCGGACGAGCTGGAGGAGGTGTGTGTGGATAGGGAAGTCTGGGCGTCTCTGCTTAGACTGCTGCCCCCGCGACCCGGCAACGGATAAAGCGGAAGAAAATGGATGGATGGATGGTAGTGAATGGTCTGATACTAATGGAGTATCAGACCACTGCAAATCTACCAAGACCCGGCCGTCCCTCCAAACTTTCATCTCAAACAAAGAGAAGACTGATCAGAGATGCAGCCAAGAGGCACATTATCACTCTGGATGAACTGCAGATAACTACAGCTGAGGTGGGAGAGTCTGTCCATAGGACAATAATCAGTCGTGCACTGCACAAATCTGGCCTTTATGGAAGAGTGGCAAGAAGAAAGCCATTTCTCAAAGATATCCATAAAAAGTCTCGTTTAAAGTTTGCCACAAGCCACCTGGGAGACACACCAAACATGTGGAAGAAGGTGCTCTGGTCAGATGAAACCAAAATTGAACTTTTTGGCCACAATGCAAAACGATATGTTTGGCGTAAAAGCAACACAGCTCATCACCCTGAACACACCATCCCCACTGTCAAACATGGTGGTGGCAGCATCATGGTTTGGGCCTGCTTTTCTTTAGCAGGGACAGGGAAGATGGCTAAAATTGATGGGAAGATGGATGGAGCCAAATACAGGACCATTCTGGAAGAAAACCTGTTGGAGTCTGCAAAAGACCTGAGACTGGGACAGAGATTTATCTTCCAACAGGACAATGATCCAAAACATAAAGCCAAATCTACAATGGAATGGTTCACAAATAGACGTATCCAGGTGTTAGAATGGCCAAGTCAAAGTCCAGACCTGAATCCAATCGAGAATCTGTGGAAAGAGCTGAAGACTGCTGTTCACAAACGCTCTCCATCCCACCTCACTGAGCTCGAGCTGTTTTGCAATGAAGAATGGGCAAGAATTCCAGTCTCTCGATGTGTAAAACTGATAGAGACATACCCCAAGCGACTTGCAGCTGTAATTGCAGCAAAAGGTGGCGCTACAAAGTATTAGTGCAAGGGGGCCGAATAATATTGCACTCCCCACTTTTGAGTTTTCTATTTGTTAAAAAAGTTTAAATTATCCAATACATTTCGTTCTACTTCACGATTGTGTCCCACTTGTTGTTGATTCTTGACACTTTTTTTTATTTTTATATCTTTCTGTTTGAAGCCTGAAATGTGGCGAAATGTTGAAAGGTTCAAGGGGGCCGAATACTTTCGCAAGGCACTGTATATACACATACACATCAAGGCATGCAGAGAACATCATATCCGCGCTCCTTATAGGCTAAGTGGGTTAAAAGTGTCTTGCCCCAGGACACAACGACAGCAGGCATCAGTGGGAGTCGGTGGAGAAGGTCCCGTGGTGGGCTCAAACCCACGACCTTTAGGCCCAAAGGCCAATGCTCTACCAACTGAGCTGTCGCTAGTATAAATGTACAGTATAAAGCTAGTATAAATGACTGTATGTTCCAATGCAAGAAATACATAGTTGTATGAATGATAAAATGAAATTGCATCAACAGTTGAAATAATATGAACAATAATAATAAACAATTGTTATTATTTGTCCACAGAACTCGGACCTGGAGGGATGATGTAGCTGTGACTCCAGGGGCACTGGGAACAGTCGCTGTTTCTGTCACACTTTATCTGCACCATGTAACTCTGACTTGAGTCCAGACCGTCCACTCTGCCATTTTTGCCTTTGAAAAGCTTTGCATAAACCTAGAAACATATTTATGATGTTATGATTTTGCATCCCTGAATTGTACGAGCAGGCAGGGTCTTCTTTACCTTCCGTTCTTCACCCATTGTTGTATATTTCAGGTTGAAATCTTTAATGTATCTTTCTTCATGCTTCATCCAGACAACATTGAGGTCAAGAATCCCAGAGTGGCGGAGAAAGGAAGACTGCGTTGGAGGACCACATCGAACTGAAAAGAAAATAACTTTTATCAGACACACCATTCGCCCAATTATAAACATCTGAATGAAGAATAAGATACTATACCTAGATCCGTCGGCGTTCCTTTGAAAACTGCCTTTGTACAGTTTGGTGACTTCAGATTTTCTACAAGTAAAACAGTCAGGTCCCGCTTTTGAAAAATTGTAATTTCTTTATTTTGACTGGAAATGTTGTCTTTTGCTCCACAGTATTCTCTGAACGCAAGAGAGAACAAGAAAACAATAATTTATCAAAAAGAAAAGCATTTTGAACCCATCTATAGCCTTTCTTGTTCGCCTTGGGACAGAAAAAGGGCTCTTGGATCATCATTATAATGACTTTATAATTTGGTGACATGATTTGTAAAAATTTACTTTTGAACCAGAACATGTATTTAGATGACTCATTTCATGCAGGATTGCAACGTAATGTGTCAAAAGACAGTGTGACAGGGCACAATCTAAGAATAGGATAGTAGTTTACTTTTATTCCTTTGTCTATTGTATGTTCAGACAATGAAGATTGGAGATTCTGGGAGAAGTACACATCTAAGGCCAAAGGAGCCAACCTTTTGTCTTAAATGTGTACTCACAAGAATCTACAATCGTCATTGTCTGAATACAACCAAAGATTTTTAGGAGGGGAGAACGTTGTTGGTTGTCACTTTTGAGAAGAATTTGCTCATCATCGAACATCCGATGAAACCAAAGAAAACATGGACGGCACAATGGTGCAGTGAACTTTTGTAAATGTTTTTAATGGTAGGGGAAACCGGAGAACCCAGAGGAAAACCAGAGTACCCAGAGGAAACTTATGCAGACACGGGGAGAACATGTAAACTTCACTCTGTTCTGGATTCAAACCCAGAACCTTCTTGCTGAGAAGCGGGAGTGCTATACTGTATACTCACTTACACTCACTGTCGCCAACTTACTATAAGTAAGTTGGCGCATTCAACACATTTCAACATGTGACTTTTCAACACATTTCCTGAAAGTCTGAAGCTTTAGCTTATAACGTGCTACACTCTTGTGTGTGAGGGTAATAATGAAGGTGTTCCATCCGTGCCCTATATGGAGAGAGAAAATATCGACTCGAGCTTTTGTCCTTCATAACAGATTACACAGGTTGTTGGTGTACGTACCCTTGTTGTTTGAAGAGCGTATAGGTATTTCTGTGTGCACTGGTTCCCGGTTCCCATTCACATCTCCATTGTTTTTTACCATTTCCAACCCACCTACCAAAACAGTCTAAATGATGACCTACAACAGCACAGTTGGTATATTTGGTTAGTTATAGGTTTTAGGAATGATAACTCAACTGCGGTACTTGTCGGACTATAAACCACAACTTTTTTCAACTTCTGTGAACGCTGCAGCTTATATAGAATAGTGGCCAATGAATGTTTTATTCATATATTTGTTTTTAGCACACCTCTGAAGCACAGGAACGGAGTTGGACACTGTTTTTGTGAATAGCCAACAAGGAGAAGACTTGTTTATATGTGACCAGGGTTATAGGAAGAGCAAAGTTGATGGCCTTGTTAATTTTACTGTTGTATTTTAGTAAGAAAGACAGGGATTGGATTTACCAGAGTACTTTGATCCTCGAGGGTCAATAGTGCATTAAAATACCTTGTCATTAAAGTAGCAAAATGTAAAAATCTCATGTCAAATCATCATTAAATGGCCCTAATCTGTCAAAAGGCATTAATAAAACCTGCTCTTTTCGAATACTTCTTTAACTTATACAGTAGTTCAGCCGAGATATTTAGATTTCAAAATTTGTTTTGTTATTGTTTTTATTTTGATGTCCCGCCCTCCATTGTTCTACCAATCAGAAAGTCCGTGATCCGGGTTGCCAGATCTCATCGCGTCGAGCTAATCTCACTGGTAAAGTACCATGTGGCTGCAGAACTAAAACTTGTTATTCTCAAATCATTAATGACAAAGGTGTTGGTTATACTGTAGATTTGTTGTTGACTAAACTCTTTACTATTCAGCTATAATGATTCCGGCTGGATTCATCTGCATATCTGGCAACCTGAGTCAGGGAAAGTGGGAAAGGATGCAGTACAGCGCTTGGCCAGATTTTTACATACTTCTCCTTTAATTTTTGTTGTGTCCAATGTTTTTATCAGATGTTGGAATCAACTTGTATTCAAGTGCAGCTTATACATGGACAAAAATTACTTTCTTTTCTAAATTTGCTGGGGCGGTTTATACCCACTTGAATAGTCCGGCAAGTACTGTAGTTAAATGAATCACATCTGTCTCATACCTGGATAAAACTTGCAGTGCTCATATTTCATACATGAAGTGCTACAATTCACTGAAAGAAACCCAGAACTTTACATCAACTAATGAGCAAACAAAGATACAGTATAAGGTCTCACATTCTTCAAAAGGAAATACTTGCACTATAATCCGAGCAAATTGAGACTGTTGAAAAGCTACAGATACAATTGTGGATAGGGGCTTGAACAGTCTCCAGATTTTGTCATGTTTACAATACGATACATTCTAGATATTTTACAAGCAAATTCAATTCAATGTAATTCAGATGAGAGTATCAAGCAGCTCAAACACAAAAATTAAATCAGAAAACACATTGGTATTGGTCCATAAGTGGCAGATGACCAATGTCTGTAAGTGTTGATAAATGTCCATAAATGTTGTTGAATGATCAGTGTCCTAGATCATCACCACTGTCCTTTTTAGACCCTCACAAGGCTAAATGTTTTATCCTAGCCTCCTGCATCGACCCGGGAAAAGCTCTAAACCCAGTGGGAAATTGGGGCTTACACATCTATGAAAACCTATGTGTTCAATTGAAAAGTTGTAGAAAGCCCTGATAATGTTTTTCCACAAACACTCTCAATCTAAACTGACAGAGTTTGAGTTGGATTGTAAAGATGAATGGGTAAAGCTTGTAGCATTTTACCCCCAAAATACTTGCTGTTGCTGCTGCAGTTACAACAAGAAGTATTAGCCTCACTTTTCAGCACAAAGAAATCTCCTTTACCTGTCACCTTACAGTTGTATGTTACTTTGCTGTCTAAAGTACACCTAAAATAAAACTTTTGTTTGTGGTTGAAAACACAACAAAATTAGCAAATGTGGGAGTTGAATCAGTACTTGTGCAAGCCCCTGTATGTATAGACAGTATGATGTGTAATATATATATTTGAATGTAGACATACCTAAAGTGAAGATGGATAGAAAGTTGGTCAGATTGCACAGTGATCCCAAAGTCGACATGCTGCAGCTGAAGTAAATATCTGTGTCTCCTCAGCATGCTGCTTCACCTTTTTTACGCTGAGACAGAAGGAAACACGTGTATAGTCACATAGGGGTGGAGACTTCTGTACAGCTCAATGCACATGAACTGGAGATTGTATTGTAAAATCCTCTAAAAACTAAAGCATCTGCTCAGATTGATCCCATTGGTCAATAATTATCATATATATACAATTATTATCTATATTATTTTTACACAGCCCTTTTTTTCCTCACATATTTGCTTCTTGTATTTGGTCCAGTATTTTTGCTTTCAAACAATGTGTTAAAAATGGCATGAACATAATTTTTATTTTACAGCATTCTGTCTATGTTCTGTTTCATTTTTACTTTTTACAAGGGCAATCAAAATACGAGTTTTCTAGTAAAAATATAAAATCTTGAAATTATGAAAAGAAAATCGATTCAGTTATACTCTTTTACTTTTCCCTTTGGTGGCATTGTGCTGACTGCCTGAACGGTCCTCGAGTTGTTCCTCTTTGGGGCTTTAATCATATGGCTAAATGTAAACACAGGGAGTCCGCCTCCGTTAGTTAAACATTTTTATAAAGGTCCCATGTTTTCCAGATCTACGCTCCACATGCGGGTATTACTAGTGACCGGTTATACACACAATCTACTTAGTCTGTGTATCGGCAATCTATTCTGTAAAGCTGTATAATTGAATCAAAGCCACTGGTTCTGTGTCGACCTCTACAGGCTTGTGTCGTGTGGATAACTTGAGGTCTCAAAGCCTTCCTTACTCATGTCTTGCTCAAAGTAATTTCCCAACTTTATCTTCCTTAAGGATCAGAACCTGTGGGCTAACCACAGCTTTAGAAACACTAGCGTTTCCTTAAACTGTGTCTGTGATAAAACTCTATGTTGTGAATCCTAGACTGGTAAAATGTCAGATGTTTATCTAATCACCATGTAAAATGAAGTTTACAAAACATTTCGGAGAAAACCTTATCCTCTGAGTTTTTTTTTTTAGTTTATTTTTTAAACAAATCCGTATTTCCAAATGTGTATACAACAAACTATAGAAGTTATTCGGGAATCTGTTTGTTGGGACATAGATATTTTTATGCTTAAGCGCAGTTGCTTTGACGTATAATGTTTTTTTAAACCCTGAAATGTTTGCAGTGACATAGAGGCCGCTACCATCACACGATCAACCTTTTGCAGCGTCCCACTGGATAAACCCCTACACCTCGTGTTCATATCCTTCTAGTTTTTTTTTTATATTTATTTTATGTATATATATATATATATATATTATTATATATATATATATATATTATATTATATATATTACCCACACCCCCCCCCCCCCCCCCCCCCCCCCCCCCCCCCCACCCCACCCCCACCCCCCAATTCCGATCGGTTGAATAGATTACATTGATTTACAATTTCTGGGGCTCTGTGAAAAGAGACAAGTACAAGCTTTCGTAGACAATTCTATAACATGAGTTCTCACTGACATGTTCCCTGCAGTGCCATCATTATTTCTCAAATTATACAATATACAATTCTATAGTAGTATTGTTTAGTCTTTTTACCACATATATGGTGATTTAGATGTATATAACAAATGATTACGATAAAAATTATATGCTTATTTTAAAACAATGCTTTAGAAATGAAGTCCATAACCGTTGACTGGTTGTATGGTATAATAATCCGATTAATATTATCCACTGTCCAGTAACAAATAAGGTACACAGAGGAATTTTATTTCATTCATTGCTTAACGAGCAATGACGTACAAACAAGATTAATCATAGCCTTTATCTACCACTTTAGCTGGCTAGCCCGCCCCACTGTGGACCTGGTGTTCCAGAGGTCTCCCATCTTCAGATACTAACCCAGGCCCTGCCTAGCACGTTTCAGAGATGGATGGATCTGGCTTTCACAGGCAGGTATATGGTACACATGAGATACAAGCTTAAATCCAAGTGTTATATACTAATTGGAACACATTTTTAATGTCTAAAAAACTGTCTTAAAAATTGCCAAAGGACCAAGCAAAAATTTCTGATTCCTGAAAAATGTCATCAAAACAAAAGTCTCCTTTGAATGGAACATAAATAGCTGTGCATCACGTGCTTGAGGTGGCCATGGAACCAACCATATTGACATATCTGTTATTGCACACCTCCTCTGCACTAAACATGGACTATTGCACAGAATCACACACATCAGCCCATTGATGCACATTTCCCATAATGTACTGGTAATATATCGGGCATTACATACTTATTGGAGTACATCCAAAAATGAAAGAGCTATACATTTTAATAGAAAGTCCAGTGCTGAAGTTAAAACAAAGTGTTGCCCAACTACTTCAGTTGATGTCAAGTGCTACTCTGATCAGCCATAAAGATTTCCACCAGCCCTATTGCCCCACTCTACTTGGACTCTACTCTACCCCCATTAGGGAGCGTATCCACCGACCAGTTTAACCCGCCCAGGTACTTTTTTAGATATCTTCTTGGCCTTGCTGTAACCCCGACTGAGCAGGTACTGTACTGTTCTAAATGCCCAGTGTGGGTCAAAGTTTGGAGGAAGTCATGTTATCAAGAAATTCCCTGGATACGCTTGTTGTGGGTTATAGTTGCTAGGATTGGTACCAGATATAAAGTGTAATTAATGTAAACACAACCAGAGTAGAGTCCGAGTAGAGTCGAGTAGAGTGGGCTGCCCGAAAAGGGCTGTAGATACATGAAACCCAGCCTTTTGTGGATCCGGGTTTCACAGGAGGTGTGGGTAAGGTCTTATGAGAAAACAGGGGTCAGTCAGACTTAGATGCCCTTTGTCACCAGATATGTTCATTCCTCTGGGTGAAAGGAGGACGGACAAGTGTGAGTGGGCAGTGATGCGGTGCTTTATCAAACTGAGGTGAAGAGGTCAAAAAGGCCAAAAACTCTCCAATTTACCACATTCCACACATCAATATACGTCAAGAAAACTTTGAGAGGATTACAAGGTCCTGGGGGAAAACCTGAGGATACTCTGAAGGGCTGGTTTCATGTGATCAACAGCCGGTTTCTGTCAGCCCAACTCTACTCGGACACTACTACGAACTACGCTGGTTGTGTTTACATAATTACACTTTAGTACTCTGGGTACCAAAACCTAGCAACTATACCCACAACAAGAAGTATCCAGGGATATTCCTTGATAACCTTGAATTCCACCAGAATTTGACCCATAACGGCATTTAGTACAATACCAGTACCAGCTCAGTAGGTTACCGCCAGGGCCAAGAAGATACTAAAAAAGTACCCTGGTGCTGGTTAACACAGGGTCTGTGGAAACGTCCCACTGGGGGTAGAGGTAGAGCAAGTAGGTTGTGGGGGCAATAGGGATAGTGTTGGGGCAAGGTTTAAATGGGCTGATAGAGTATCCTTGACATCACTGTGTATTTGGCAAAACAAGTTTAATTTAACTTCATCACTGGAATCTTTTCTATTATAATGTATATAGCACGTATCATTTATGATGTAACTCAATAATATGTAATGTCCCCGATATATTACCAGTACATAATGGGAAAAGTGCATATGGGCACCTGAAGGAGTGTGTATTCAATGTGCAATAGTCATTAAAAGTGAGTAGGAGGTGTGCCATCACAGGAAATGTGCCATCTGGTGTTTCTTGCCCCCAATACGTGATCAATGCAAATATTTTCACAATACAAAAAGGGGGAGACCTTTGGATGTGACATTTTCAGAATCGAATTTATGTTGTTCATTGGCAAATTTTTTAGACAGTTTTTAGGACATTTAAAAAGTGTTAAATCAAGATATAAACACTTGATTTAAGGCATTCTTCGCAAGTGTAGCCCCCATCCCTGCATGTGAAAGCCAGGATCCTGATCCTCTGAAATTGTAGGCAGGGATCTTGTTAAGTTTGAGATGGGAGACCTACTGGGAAACACCCAGGTGCCCACAGTGGGGCGGGTCGGCTGCATCCTTTTAAAGTGGTAGATAAAGTGATGGATTATAATCTGTATTATCGTCCATTTGCTTGTATGCAATGACATGAACTCAATGACCTCTGTGTAATTATATGGTACCAGGAGCGAGGTGATAATATTTAATCTTATTACTATCAACAGGTCACCGTTAAAGCCGTTCATTACAACATAGATTGTTTTAAAATAAGCAATAAAATTTTACGTAGATATTTTCATCTCTCACATACCATTAAATTGTAAAAAGACTCAAGCATTACTATATAATTGTATTTTGTATACTTGGAAGGTAATGATGGCAGTGCGAGGGAAAGTCAGAGAGAGAAATGTGTTTAAATATTCTACAAATGCTAGGAACTTGTCTCTTTTCCCATATCCATAACTGTGTAAAAGTCCAATGTGATCTATTTCAACTCCTAATGCCCTAATGACAGGGAAACGCGTTTATGGTTTTTCAGTGGACGCACCACAAAGTTGATGTGGAGGTAGCGCCTCTAGTGTTCACTGCTCCATTTCAGGTGTTTAAAAAAACACATTATGAGACCAGCACGTGCCCAGCAAAGCATAAAATATCAAAGTCCACAAAACATAATCGAAATAACTCTATGTTATGATTGTATACACATTTGGAAATCGATTTGTTACAAAAAAAACTAGTTAAAAAAAAAAAATCCAGAGGATAAGTTTCTCCTAAATTGTTTTAAACTTCATTTTACAATGTTTGATTAAGAATAACAGTTCAGACATTTCCAGGTCTAGGATTCAAACATAGATTTTTTAACAAGACACAGTTAGAACCGCATATTGTTCTAAGTGTGGTTGCCCACAGGTTCTGATCTTTCGGAAGATAAAGTGGGGGAAAATTGATTTTGTAGCAAGGGCCATGTGTAAGTGTTTAGCCCCCTATTTACGTAACGACATAAATCTGTCTGTAGCTGTGACCCGAGAACCCATTGCTTTGATTTCATTATAACAGCTTTACAGACTGAGACTGATGAACACA